TTGGACTGTTGCAGTCGTTATCTGACTCTGAATTTCACCCAATTTGGCAGCCATGTCGGGTCGTGTGTGGGTAACAGCGTATTGCAGACTACCTACCAGACCTCTTAGTTTAGAACGCTCTCCTTCATTGACTTGGGCATCAGGCGTCAGGCGACGGGTTCTGCCAATGTCTATGTGGGAAATGTTCCGAACGTACTCACTTTGGGAGGCGCGAATTGAGTAGTCGGGGAACTGTTCAAGGTGGATTCCCGTAAAAATGAAGTTCGAAAATTTTCGACTTCCGAAGGGCAAACGTTGTTGCAAGTCCTGAATTTTCTGGCTGAACTTTTCGTCTCCTCCGGCCAACCCATCATCTACGTGCATTCCTAGGATGCCATTAAGTTTTGGGCCAGTGTACAAGAGGAACACACATGGCTCTAGGGGATGCCGAATAAATCCTAGGTTGAGGAGCTGTTTACTCAGCTCCTTATAAAACAAGAGAGGAGCGTCTACTCTACCGTAGGCATTGCCTAGTAACTGACACACTTCACCCTCCTTAAGACCCAAAGCTTTACGCATCTCCCGCGGGGGGTCCATGGCCAGCGGGTTAGCGGCGTCCGCTTGACCCCGGAGGAACGCAGTTTTTATATCGAACGAACTTAGCTGAAATTTGGACGAAGCGATGGTCTGCAGCACAAGAGCGCGTCCTTCCTTAGATAAGGTCGGTGCGTCTCGCATGACATCTACTAACTTTGGATCTTGATAGCCAAGCACGACTAAACGCGCTTTAGCGCGTGGTTGGGTCTCGCCCGGTTCTGGACTCTTCCATGTTAGCACCCACCTACTTTTAAGGATCTGTTCCGGATTCAGTTTTTGACGGAGAACGGCTTTGATGGCAGATGTTTGTATCCAGCATTGAATTTCTTTGTCTTTGGCCTTATCGAACAACACCACTTCTTGCGGGGTCAAATCTTTGACATGGACCTCAGATCGGGCTCTCTTGCTGATTGAAGCCATTAAGTGATCAATTGCTCTGGAGAAGATTCACGGCTCCAACGCTTCAGGTCCTTCGCTCGCACGGGAATTTCCAAACAAAAGGCTTGGTGCTCCTGACATTCTAACGGAGTTTCCACGTATGGCAAGTTATCTTCAGCTAGAGGAGGTCCGAGGGCTTCGGGTCCAGTGCTTAGGTAGGTAAAGTGACTTATCCCATTATCTCCATGGTTGCAGGCGTCCAATTCTTCATGAGCAAGCAAGACTTGTTCAATGAAAAGGCCCTCTTCATCATCTGGGACGGGGACTTCAAGAGGATCAGGAGCAGCAAATGGATCTTCAGGATTTGCAGACATCTCGGGTTCGGTATTCCCCGAATGTCCAGAAGGAGCAGCAGGGACCACAGGACTGTTGGGTTCGCGCTCGACTTCGGACATTCTCTCCACACCTTCGGGATTGTTAGAAACCTGAGGAGTTAATTCTTGTTCAGGCTGAAGTATGTCATCCTCGGATGGTGTAGTTCTTGGGGGTACATGGGTGGAGGTTGGAACGGCTGGCAATGGAAATTCCACCACAGGTGGCGGCATGTGAGGAATAGGCGATTGACTCGGAGTTGCTTCAGTGTTTGTCAAATCGACAAACGTACTAGCACCCCCTGTATTTGGATTACCAGTGTTGAAACTCTCAGGAGTCAATTGCTGCCACTCCCGAAGACTGGCTGGACGAAGATTCTCCGGCGCGCAACGGAGAATGGTTGCACCGTGAGCAATCCAGGTGATGGACTGTCCTTCCTGGCAAATGACTTTGGCAGGGCCATGCCACCTACCGGCAGCTAAGCGGTTCGGGGAAGACTTTTTCATCCAGTAGAGAACCCAAGCCCCTGCCTTAAACGGCCCCCGGACTGGATTGCTCCTGCGCAGCACTGCCCGGCGAATGGCTTGACTATTGTCTGCATCCCAGAACCTTGCGTGCTGAACACCTGACTTCCAACCGCTGGCGCTGTCGTTCAGACTCTAGGTCTGGCCCTTCAGTCATGGCGTGGGAAGTCAGGTCTTCATCAGAGGTTAGGCTTCCGGGGACTCTTAGGGATTTTCCAAGCACAATTTGTTCAGGAGCATATCCTTGATGACGCATCAAGGCGTTCTTGGCCTGGAAAGCTTGAAGCAGGGCTTGGTCAAAGAGGTCATCACTTGCCAGAGGGCTTTGGGCATCCATTCGGGCAAGCATATCCTTAAGAACATCTCCATGTCTTTCTAGTCTACCTCTTTGCCAGGCTGCGGCCGTGATGAAGCATTGGATGTTTAAACTTTGGAAATAGTCAAGAATTTCTGCGGATCTAAATTCTCCGGCTGGGTCTAAGTAGATCTTCCGGGGGTTTCCAGCCCATGAAAACCAAAATTCGGATAAAGTTTTGGTAGCATGGCTCGTTTGCCGAGACAGTACTCGGCGTCCAAGGTGGAAGCAGCTAGCTTCATCCAGTGCATGAAGGACATATGCTTTGTAACCCGATCTCCCCTTGAAGAAGAAACCGTCTACCCCAATAAGATCATTAAACTCCTTATGTTCAGGAAGTTTGCTGGGCCGCTGATGTCGTGGTTCAGTGGACTCTAGGCATGCATCGCACTGGTACTCAAGCGCAGCATCCACCAAGGCAGAACTTTCACCTGCCGCTTTCAAATGTCGCGCTAGGGTTGTGGGCGCGGGGTGCCCCAGATTATTATGAATGCGGATGAGCTTGTTTTTTGACTCACGATCAAGATTGCGGAAGGCAGGTCCATGCAGGGGCACTGGAGGCGGCGCCCACCCTTCGAGATTTGGCTCACTCTGGGTGTCGGGAAGATGGTCACCCAGAGACGTGGATTCTGTCTGAGACACGGAAGTCTGATCCTTCATGGATCCAAAAATGGTAAAGAGGTACTCAACCGCTTGGATTCTCATCTTCTTCCGTTTCTCAGGCATCGCAGCGCGCTCTTCGTTGCCCAGACACATGAACTTCGCTTGACCAGCTTCAATGACTTGTCCGACGCTGACTCGCCATGGAGCTACAGTACTTGGTAGTGCGCCTAGGGGACTTTGAAGGTTTCGGGTACCCTTACTAAGAAACACTTGGAGGACATTCATCTGGCTCAGATTTTGCTGGATGAGGTCAACGATCTCGTGACCAGGATGCACAAGCGAAGTGGCTCGACCGGCTTGCAGCGCGGCCATATCAAACACGGATTGCCAGGCAGCTGTGGGCAACGCTGAAGAATCATGCAGTGACATTGGCATAGGCGACTCACGTCGTCGCTGTGAAACACTGCGTTGAGACCCTTCGGAGGACTCAGGGGCCTCGCGCTTGCTCAGATTGGGCTGACTAAGGGCTACTGGGGTTCCAACCGAAGTCTTAAACCTCTTGCGGGTGCGGGGAGTTTCTGGATCGACGGCCAGTGCATCCGCCGACAGCTTGGAACACATCTGTCTGGCCACGTGATCTGCAAAACCCTGACAGTAGGATCCGGCAAAGACGGACGCGGGCACACCGCCGAGAACACGCCCGGCAATGCGGTGGTGCTCATGATTCTTCTGGCATAGATGAGATCTTAAGCTGTCAGCCATTTGCTTGGAAGAACTTAAAATTATTGTCCGCTTTTGTATCGGTACCTTGTGCACAGGAGTGCGGAGGCCGAAAGCACACATATCCACGTGGACATGCCATGTGTTCTGCACGATTGGAGTTAGGGCTTTTTCATCTAGCATGCCAGATCGGGCAGGTTGCTCCATATGGAAGGCTCGGCCACGCAGCCGCTGCCATTCGAACAACTCGGCACACAGACGCAAATGAATCTGATCGGCCTGGCAATCCTTCAGACGATTTTGAAAAGCTTTAGAACTTCGGGAAGCATTGAGGTAAGACCATGAGCACCACAGTCGACAGTCTGGGGCTACCCAGATATGACGGGGTTGAAGCTGATGCACAAGGTCCCACAGCTTCTGTTGTCCTGCTTGAGTCGCTAAATCTCCGTCTTGCCTAGTGAACCGAACAGCCTTACCCCCGAGCTGATTCAGGGAAGACGTAATTCGGCTATCGGGATAGGCATACACTTCAAGGAGGTCTATCCTGGGAGAGGAGACAGGACCACAAAGCCTCATGGAATCCTGATGCACTGCTTCAGCACGTTCAATTGCGGCCGCACAGGCTTGCGCCGCATCTTGTAAGCTTTGGGCAGCGGACTCAGGCTGAGACACTTTAGGGCTTGCAGGAGATGCTGGAAGACACTCAGATGACGGCAGGTCATCGTTGGGCTTTGCGTGTTCAGCTGTTAAGGAATCTCGGGGTTTGGAGGGTAGCCTAAACCCATGACTACGGAGCCACAACATTTCATGCCCTTTTAGTTTTGGGAAAGCTTTCAAGACATAGCTGATGGCAACTACTCTGTCCCCAGTCCAAGGCATTGTAGCGTGCCACTCTTGTGGCTTGAGATACACCCCTTGGTCGCGCAGTGGATGACAGGTTCCCTGCACGTTCTGCTGACCACACAACATGGACACTCCGGAAGATCTGGAATCAGGCTGCGGATTGGCCACCCACACTTGTCCTCCTGTCTTAGGGTATACAATGGGTATCACACAGTTCGGGCTATTGGGATCGTTATAGCTATCACGGTGTGGACTAGCACAGGTGTTGCAGGACACAGCAATGGACGAGATCTTCTGTTGGGGATTGGTCAGTCTGACCATGCGGGTCAAGGCACACGTCAGCCAGGGAAGCTCCTTGGACAATGTCGTGATCCCTGTAATCCCTCCATGAGCATACATCCCGAAAACTAAGTAGTCTCCAGGCTTCTCCGAATCCTTCGAACCCATAGTGAGTATGCTACGTTTGCCTTCCCTTCTGCCCTTCAGCTGATCCCAGGGAACTTGTTGAAGGAAGCACCTTAAGTTAGCTAGCGGGGCTTGATTACGAACAAGTGTACGGGCTTGCTCTTCAAGCTGCTGCCACCTGACTTGATTTCTGGAGAGCTTCGAAAGCTGAAAGGGCCGGTCAGCTACGCTGCCTGGGACTGAGCATGTAGGGCCTGGACTGCTCCCAACACCTGCTGCATGACATTCTCCATCTGGTTCATGCGTGATGTCAGACTGTTCACCTGCTCGGTGATCACTGATGGGCCTTCCGTCGTCGACACCACATCCCACTGGTCCTGGGACGGCTCCGACGGTTGAGGAGCCCTTTTGGGAGCTGCCTTTGAGGCGGGCTGCATCAGACTGGGCGTTCGCGGAGATGGATGGACTGGGACATTCGAGGGCTCCGTCGCGTAAAGCAGCGTGGCTTCGGTCTCCTCGGCTGCTTCGATGTACTTCTCGATGAAGATCATGAAGACTTGGTGACAGCGTTTCTCGCTCTTGGCGAGGTGGTCGCAGCACCATTTCACCCAATCCTTCTCGGTTTCGGCCACTTCCATGTAGGTTCTGCCCTTCATGGTCCGACCGAAGTCTATCTTGAACTCGCCCAGCGTCTCCACGCTGAGATTCTCGATCTCGGCCATCGTGTAGTTCATGGCAGGATCCTGAAGACGAGCAAAGCGAGCTCCCAGATTGCTCTGGGGGGATGCTTTGGCCTTGCTCATTGCCATGATGCACGGAACACGCGGAGTCAAAGCAATCGGAAAGCGTGGGCTCAGGCGGAACCTCGAGCGGGGATGCGGCTGCACATGGTGCGCTGACTGTATCTGAAAGGCTGGTGGGCGCCAGAGGGCGCTTGGTCGCTGTGGACATTGCGTTAACATGGTTCGTAGTTTTACGAAACCCAAACACTCTTGAATTCTTCTCCCTGAACCGACTAAGGGAACATCGACTGGCTGTACATCCCACAGTAGAGGAACCCGTGTTCAAGGACTGATCGGTGGACATGCAAATACGGATCTGAGGAGTCTCATCGAAGCAATCTTCACGGACAATGTGGCACTGCAGCTCCTGAGAACTTTCCTCGCACAGGCGGGCAAGATCTACCATGTATAGACCGGTTGGTCCGGTGCGCAGCTGCAGCTTCTTCTGCAGACGTTTCAGGTGGCACACATCGGCGGTGGTATCTATTACACCTCCTAACTGCTTGATGGCCTTCTTGCTTAGTAAGAGAGGTGTTCCACCGGGCACAACTTCAATCCCAAGCCACAAAATGGAGCTGTTTGCTGTCCGAAGCGGAATGAGAATCCGACGCTCGCTCACCAATGTTTGGTTGTTCCCAAACCGGAACCGAACAGCACTCTGGGTGACCTTTACCTGATCTCGGACAACATCACTCAGCTGGCTCAAGAAAGTGGAAACAAGGCTCTTCCCCATCACACACCGACTGGCCCCTGTATCTAGGATGGCTTCTACGGAACCACTACTCAGAAGGGCATGGGCAGATGAATGAGGAACTTGCATTGGTGGAGCAGCACGCTTGCTTCTCCAGGCACATGCAGCGCGCTGCTGCGGGACGCCTGACGCATCAGCGGGCGAAGTCTCCCCACTGTCGGCTTGCCTGGAGATTGAGAGCTTTAGGGCACGGCTTTTTAGGTTCTTAACGACTTGCTGGAGTCTATTTAGGATGACATCTCGGGACGCAAGAACCTTTGCTACTAGAGCCTCTTCCAGGGACAGGGCATCTGCGGGCACGCTGGTGAACACTTCCGTCGTTTGTCCATCCTGCGAGGATGCTGCAGCCAGGGAGTCTTCGGGAACGTCAGCAAAGGTCGTAGTTGCTTCGCCTTTGTTGCTCATACTCCCTGGCTTCCCATATTTTGGGCATTCAGCGCGCCAGTGCCCTCGCTCCCCACATGCCCGGCAGGTACTGCGAGCGATCCTGGCGAGGAGCTGATTCTGGGCTGCGCTCTTTCCTCTGCCTTTGCCCTTGAAGCCACGATGGCTCTTGCCACCCTTGCTGGAGCTCACGGGCCAGAAGCCCCTTGCTTTCTTTTTCTGAAGCAATCTGTTTCGAGCATCAAGGTAGGAGATGAGGGCCTCCTGCAAATCGGGGGTCTCCTGAAAGAACCCCTCCAGCTCTTCTTCAAAGGCTTGCACCTGCAGAGCGTCCTGGTCCTCAGCTGCAATCATTGCCTCTAGGTATTCACCATCGATCTCTGTCTCGGGCTCTTCTGAGTTCGGGATGGAAGAGGTGGCCTGGTACGCGCGCTCTGTCTCATCAGTCGCTGTCTCTTCGGTGATGTTGGCATCGTACGTCTTGTTGCGGGCACTTCCACGAAGTCCTTGCAGATCGGAAAAGAATCTGGATCCCAGTAGCCGGATGGACGCACCGACCTTCGTGTGATCCAAAGTTCCACCCATCTCTACCACAATCTTCTTCCGATCTTCTGCTGACAGCTGAGACTGACGCAGCAGAATGTACGCCCGAACCTCGGACAACGTGACTCCCTGTGACACCAACTCCTCGAAGTGAACGTCATGACGAGCTAGGTAGCTGTCGTTGGTCTCATCAGCCTTCTGCACCGTGCCGTAGATTGCTTTCTCGAAGCGATCATACTTCTCTTCCAAAACTGTCTTGCCCCAGGAACCACCAAGCGTAGACACCAGGAGCTTCACTCCAGAATCGTCGGTACTCTGAAGTTTGCTGGGTGGCAGGGAGGCCAGCTTCTTAAACGCTGTGCCCTCGCAGAGTAGAGCAGCTCGGGGAGCAAGGAGAGGAAGATGCTCCTTCGGCCACATCGCCGCCAGGAACTCCATCTTCCGGCTGTACTCTGTCACATCCGTAGATCCCGGGATGAACTTGGGAATCGCTGCCCATGGCAATTGCATTCCAGGCAGGCCCCCGGTCTCTGATGACGCTGAAGGCGGTTGTGCCATTTCTTCGGAGACTCCACCAATGTCTTTGGCACCCTTGTCAGGTCACACCACAGTATCCCTGGATCAACAGCTTTTCCGCAGGTCTGGCTGCGAAGCCTCGGGCTCCGCTACCAGTGTGAACTCGAAGTTCACCCTGGTAGCAGATGACCCTTCTGTATGTCCAGATCTGCCCAAGAATCCAGATACAGGAAAGGAACCCACGATGAAGAAACTGACCCTGTCAGTGAAAGATCTGAATGAAGAACTGACCCTGTCAGCGAAAGAAAGATGCGGCCCCGCGCAAGAGAAGGCGCCTGCCCTTTTCCACCAGCTCAGAGATCCATGCGCTACCCGGTAGCGTGCCCTACCCTCCCGCCGTCGGGATCTTCGGAGCCCGGGAGGCAACAGGATGTACATGTCGGCAATCTCCTGCCATGAGATTCACAAGGGTTTAGGGTTCAGGGTTCAGGGTTTAGGGTTTAGGGTACGGTGCAGACCCCCCCCCCCCACCACTTGGTATAAGATGCCGAAAGGCAAGGATGAAGTACAAGCGGATGGCCTACCGACTCCAGACTGAAGTTGAGGGTGCCTTTGATTCTACGTCCTGAAACCCCCAACCCCCCCTCCACCAACAAGCCTTAACCCTCCCTGACCCTCCCTAACCCTCCCGAACCCTCCCGAACCCTGCCTTCCTCCTCCCCCCCCCCAAAAAAAGAAAACAAACAAACTCCATCTGAGGCAAGGCACATCATGAGCCTCGCTTGTCTCGCCGGGGATCTGCGGGGTCGGGGGGAGATCAGTCGCGGCAAGCTGCATAGCTTGGGGTTAAGGGGTGCAAGACCCTGCGCCCTAAACCCGAAACCCTAAACCCTAAGAACCCAAACCCGAAACCGATCGAGGCAGAAAGACCCTCCCCACCTTGTTGGCGTGGTCCGAAGGCTTCTCAATCTCAAGCAGCACTTCATCGAAATCACGCCTGGGCTCACGACATCGCTCAAGCTGCCTAGGGCGACGTGGTAAGTCTACTTAGTACCCGCTGAAAAGCCGCGGTTTAGGGTTTAGGGTTTAGGGTTTAGGGTTTAAGGTTTAGGGTTTTGGGTTACTAACCCTAAACCCTAACCCTCAACCCTACTTACTAAGTCAAAAGGGCTTCCAAGCAGGGCTCGTATCGGGCTTAGGGTTCCAGGTCCAAGGGATGTCGAAGGCATAGGGGGAGGAAGACGGAGGATTCAGGGTTTAGGGCTTAGGGTTTAGGGTTTAGGGCTTAGGGTTTGGGGTTTAGGGTTTGGGGTTTAGGGTTTGTGGGGGATTGGGGTGGGGGGAGGAGGGGTCGGGTGCGGGGGAATCTTACCATTGATGCGATAGGGGTCCGAGTGGAAGGTGCCTGAAACAACATCTGGCAGGCACCATGGATTAGAGCGATTTAGGGTTTAGGGTTTAGGGTTTAGGGCTTTTGGTTCGTACGTTCGTTGAGGAGTCTCCAATAGGTTTAGAGTTTAGGGCTGCGGGAAACCGCACGAGAATTCCGTTTCAAGGTTCGGGGGAAGCCTGGAAGACACCTGAGCCCCCAGCGCGACCGTCATGTCCAGCGTATGGGCCTGGGGGGGGGGGGGGGGGGGGGGGGGGGGGGATTCCAGGGTCTACCTGCGGACTACATATTATGGGTTTAGGGACCCTTAAACCCTAGACCCTAAACCCTGAACCCGAAACCAACCCTTCAACCCTAGACCCTAAACCCTATAAAATGGCAGAAAAGGGCGCACGGTCTCAAAGCCCTGCAGAACCTCTGAAGCCCCTAGGAATAAAAGGGGCACCCGTTTTGGCTGACTTAGAGGGGCTTGTAAGTAGGGACCTAGAAAAGGGGAATAAGAACTTGTGGTTTGGGGTTTGAGGTTTAGGGTTTAGGGCTTAGTATTTAGACAGAGGGCCCCTTGAACTTGCGCGCACCCTGAACCCTGAACCCTAAGCCCTAAGCCACAAGCCCTAAGCCCTAAACCCTAAACCCTTACTCCGCAGCCTTGTTGAAGAACTTGACGTGCTGCATCTTCACCCACTCCAGCCTTTGCGGGCTGGGAATCAAGGGTGGGGTTGAGGGGTTGGGGAAGTTTCCCACCCAAGTCCTAAACCCTAAACCCTAAACCCTAAACCCTAAACCCTTAGAATAGTTGAGGTCGAGGATGCAGGTCTTAGGGTTCCCCGTCATCCGCAACAGCTTACAGGGTGCATGGGCCCTTAGCCTTCTTGCGCAAACTGTGGCTGAGGCGCCCTCAAGACTGCCCTGAGCAGCCTGCCGCAGGGTTTAGGGCCTATAGGGCTTAGGGATTAGAGATTTTCAGCCGCGCAAAAATTGGTTTAGGGTTTAGGGTTTAGGGTTTAGGGTTTAGGGTTTAGGGTTTAGGGTTTAGGGTTTAGGGTTTATCCCAAGAAACCCTAAACCCTAAACCCTAAACACCCTGTAAACCAGCTGTCAAGACCAATGATTCCCATGGTGCAGCGATCCGAGGACAGGGAATGGTGGGTCCATCCCTTAGCTCGAACGCCCAACTTTCTTGTACTCAGATGACAGCAGGTCATCAGGGAATATCCACACTCTAATTCTGCACCTCCATCTTGATGTCAAGAAGAGGTCATCTTCATTTCAGGCCCAATAAGGCGCGCCACCTCGCGAACAGCGTCGCTGAGATGGCACAGCCGCCGAGTTGGGACAGGAGCCAGGAATGAGCTCGGCCGGAGCTTTTCCTTATGCTGATCCCTAAAGACCCTAAACCCTAAACCTTACTGGCCCAAAGCCAAAGGAAATAAAAGTTGAAACTTTCAGAATTAAGGCGAGGAAGCCCGAAAGTTGAAAAGTTGGGTTTTGAGCCAGTAAGAAACCCTGAACCCTAAACCCTGAACCCGTAATGCACAAATACCCAAGCCCCGATATTGGTCTGCAACTCCAGGGGGGGGGGGGGGGCTTTGGGAAGCTGTTGCACATGATCTCGGCTTAGGGTTTAGGGTTTCGTGTCTAAGATGGTCGGTTTAGGGTGTAGGGTTAGCATGTAGGGTTTAGGGCTTCCGGTTGAGGGTTTAGGGTGATTTCCTAAACCAGGTCACTTTTTGGGGTACACTGACTAGGCTCAGAGGCCTAAATCCTAAAGTCCTAAAGGCCGAGAAAACAAGATGATAATGGGGTTCATAGTATGGGGTTCAGGGTGCACGAAACCCGCACTGTCGACTGCACACTTTACAGAAACCAACTCCAAACCGTGTATAAACCTCAACCCCAAACCCTACCGCCCTACGTCTTCCACCCACAATTCTGATTCGCGAACTCGCAACCCCTAAATCTCCTAAACCCCCATCACCACAACCTATCTCCCAAGCTTGCACCCCAGCCCCCTGAACCCCAAACCCCAAACCCTCAACCCCCAAACCCTAAACCCTAACCTATCAACCCTAAACCCAAAACCCTAAACCCTAAACCCTAGCCCTACACCCTAAACCCTAAAAGCCCTTATAAACCCAAACCCTGTGCCAGGTTCCCAACTTCAGCTTTAGCTCGGTGAAGCCGAGCAAGCTGAGTGATTTGGGTTTAGGGTTTAGGGGGTTGGCGCGTTCCGTTTGGGGGTTTAGGTTTGGGGTTTGGGGTTTGGGGTTTAGGATTTGTGGTTTAAGGATGGGACTTTTTGGGCTTAGGGTTTGGGTCCGGGTTTTGGGGTTTTGGGGTTTCGGGTTTGGCGGTTTAGGGTTCAGGGTTGCTGCTGAGAACGTTGTTCTGTATGTTTCCATAAGCATAAGATGGTTGCCCAACACATCGTAAATGTCGCAAATCATGTTGATTTGTATATATGTATATATATATATATATGTATGGATATATGTGCACATGTATAGGGTACAGGAGTTGGGTTTACGATCTGGGGCTTGGGGTTTTTTAATTCTTTCGCAATGCACTTGCAGGGGGGTGGGTGGGTTAAGGGTTTGGATGTTTGGGGATTCAGGGTTTAGGGTTTAGGGTTCAGGTTTAGTTTTGGGGGGTGTATGGGGATAGGATTTAGGCCAGGGATTGCAGGTTTTGGGTTTGGGGCCTACTGCTTTTTTTACTCCCAACGTCCCGAAACCCCAGACCCTCAAACTTCCTAGTACTAAGGCTCTCAGCCCCTACACCCTGAACCCCTAAGCCTACACACCCTTAACCCCACAACAAACCGATGCCCCGGAAGCTTCCCTTAAGCCCCTACACCCCCAAAGCCTAAACCCAACACCCCCAAGCCCCCTAAACACTAAACCCTAAACCGTACACAGTGCTTGAGTGCCGCTTGTTCCACTTGAAGAAGTCACGGGCTTCTCTAATCCAGGTCTCCAAGGTTTAGGGTCCAATGATTCAGGCGCTCTGGGTGGTCCCTAAACCCTAAACCCTGATCCCTAAATCCTAATCCCTAAACCCTAATCCCTGAGTGTGGGGGTGAGAACTTGTAGGGATTAGCGTTTGGGGTTTGGGGTTTAGGGAGTGCGGGGCTCAGGGGACTTCTACTTTGAGCTCGACATGGTTCTGGGATGGTCTAGGCCCTAAACCCTAAACCCTCAACCCTACACTCTAACCTATGAACCCTAAACCCTCACCCCTAAATCCTAGACCCTAAACCCTAAACCCTAAACCCTCAACCCTAACCCCATAACCCTCATCCCGAAACCTCACGCACTAAACCCTAAATCCTATGGAGGCCAGAGCTGGGGACGCCAGCTTTTGCCAAACCCATTTTCGGATCTCTTCCTTCTCGTCCATGGGTATCTGGCAATTTGGGGGTGCGGAGGGGGAGGGGAGGCTTAGGGTTTAGGGTTGGGGGTTAGGGTTTTGGGTTTAGGGTTTAGGGCTTCGAGTTTTGATCTGCATGTTGAGCCCTAAACTTTGCCCACGGTGTTGATTCCAAACGTCCTGCTTTTGAGGGTTCAGGGGCTGCCAAGGCACAGGCCCGCAGATGAGGATGCTGGTTTGGAGGTTGGGTTCGTGGTTGACCAGGAGGGGCCCCTAGTTGTAGAACTACGTATGGTTAAAAACCTTAAGCCCCACGCCTATAAAACCCTATCGAGAACCCTGAACCCTAAAAACCCCTTAAAAACCCTGAGCCCTAAACCCAAAACCTTCAAATTCAGAACCCCAGAAGCCCTAAAGGCCAAGATCCTAAAGCCCTATACAACCTGAACCCAGGGATCTAAGGAATGTGAGGGCTTAGGTTTTTTAGGGTTCAGGGTTTACTAAAAAAACCCTTAAAACCCTGAGCCCTAAACCCTAAACCTTCAAATTCAGAACCCCGATGGGCTTGCGGCCCCTGTCCCCCCAAGCGAGCGCTGCGCACCACATTGAAGACACGGTCTTTGTACCGCTTCATCATGTTCTTGCCGCAAGGGGTTTTAGGGTGTTTAGGGTTTAGGGTTTAGGGTTTAGGGTTTAGGGGATTTAGGGCCTTAGGGCTTTATAGGGCTTTATGTGTTTTTTTTGATAAGGAGCTTAAGCAGTTGAGGCGGTTGATGGCTTTCCAGATGGACCTATACTTCCAAATTACACTGACATCACAAACCTAGACCGCAGATTGCAACCCGTGCGCGCCATGCAGCTTGCGAGGCTGATCACATATCCTAAGCCCTGAGCCCTTCACCCTCATCAAACCCTAAACCCTCAACCCTCAATCTTTAACCCAACGGCGGGGGGGAGGGGGAGTTCTTGGGTCAGGCTTAAAAAGGGTTGGGGGTTTAGGGTTTAGGTTTTGGGGGCGCTAAGCCCTAAACAGCCTCAAGCATAAACCCAAACCCTGGAACCCCCAGTCCTGAACCCTAAGCCCTCTAAACCCTAAACCCCGAAACCCCGAAACCCCAAACCCTAACTCTCTCAATGGCGGGTCTCCCTCTCGAAGATGCGGTAAAGGGGAATGTCATCTTTGGCCACTTTCTTCAACCTTGTGATGTTTGACGGCTGTGTTCAAGTTGAGGTTTAGGGTTTTGGGGTTCAGCGTTTAAAGGGTTAAAGGGTTTTAAGGGTTTGAAGGGTCTAAAGGGTTTCAGGGTTTTTAGGGTTGCAGGGTTTAGGGCTGGGGCCCTTGGGCTCCGAGTTTCGGGTATAGGGCTCAGCCTACAGGGCTTTAAAAGGCTTACGAGTCACCCCAGTCATCTCCGAAAAATGACATACTCGTTGAGGCTAAATTTTCGGTGTTGAGTTTTGGGTTGAACATGAACATGTGATCCACTGCAGTGTGGAGAGAGTTCTGCCGCCACTCTGGGTCCTATTGCCGAAACCCTACTCTGAACACGCATCCGTGGCGTCAATCCCTTAGGAGTGAAGGGCTGAGCCACAAGCACCTCGAGCCCAACCCCCCCCAAAAACCCTCAACCCCTTAACACCCTAAAACCCGAAAAAACCTCAACCCCTGAAGCCCCCGGAAGCCTTAAAGCCCTGAAACCCCAAACCCTAAAAACCCTAAAGCCCCTTAAGCCCTATGAAACCCTAAACTGGATAGAGGCCCAACTCTTGAGGAGGAGCTGGAGGCTTAAGGGACTTAGGGCGAAGATGGCTTCTGTGACGTAGGGCTTCTTAGGCTTAGAGGGCTGTGAGTGGATAGGGTGTAGAGTTGTCTCCGCCAGGGTTCGTGCACGCCCTCACCATGGATGCCGAGCGGCATGCAAGTGATCAAGGGTGTAGGGTTTAGCGGTTTCGGGCTTCGGGGGTGTAGCTACCGGTTTAGGGTTTAGGGTTTAGGGTTGAGGGTTTAGGGTTTAGGGTTTAGGGTTTAGGCCCCCAAGAAGTACACCGCCACAAAACATGGCCAGCTTCGATGCAGCAGGGGGGGCGCACAAGTGGGCAAACTCTGGTTCAGGGAGTCGGGGTTCGGGTTTGCCTTCGACGACCGTGGTAGGAACGATAGACCCGAACCCGAAACCCTGAAACCCTGAAACCCTGAAACCCTGAAACCCTGAAACCCTGAACCCTAAACCCTTAAACCCTAAACCCTTAAACCCTAAACCCTAAACCCTAAACCCTAACCCCTAAACCCTAAACCCTAAACCCTAAACCCCCGAACCCGGCTATGGCCGCAGCCTTCGGGTCCGCACGGCTTTTGAAGCCGAAGGCAGCAAAAGGGCTTAGGGTTGCGAAGCTAATTCGGGCGAACTGTCGTTTAGGGTTTAGGGTTTAGGGTTTAGGGTTTAGGGTTTAGGGTTTAGGGTTTAGGGTTTAGGGTTTAGGGGTCGGCATATTTGGTTGGGTTGGGTGGGTCGGGGGTAGGCGGGGGGCAGGGGGCGGGGGGGTGCTGCACCCTAAACTCTAAACCCTAAACCCTTTTTTCCCCTAAACCCCTAATCCCTCGGCCCTACTTGGATGTTCATGGGTATGCATACTTGGGTTTTGAACAGGTGAACCTAGGTTATAGGAGGGTAGACACTTTTTAAGGTACTTACCACCCTGCTTCTAACCACTCTGAACCTCCACGTATCCCTCAACCCCCTAAACCCCCTAAACCCTAAACCCTAGCCCTAAACCCTAAACCCTCAACCGCGCCCCGGAGTTCAACTCGATGCCGCCCCAGCACCCGCACATGTTGATCTCATTCTCCGACTGCTCATCCGCATCTTAGTGGGGGCATTGTTTGGTAACCGAAGATAGTAAGGGTGTGGGCAGTCAGGATTCAGTCAGAGGGTTGAGACTTTCGACCCTCAACCCTAAACTCTGAACCCTCAACCCTAAACGCTAAACCCCAAGCCCGAAAGCCCAAGCACCTGACATGAACCCCCGACAGCTTAAACCCCCCAAACCCCCAAAAACCCTAACTCGTCTTGCCGAATTGAACCCTCCGAACTTCTCCGAACAAACCCTCTAAAATGGCATCTCAATAAGGGCAGACAGGCTAGTTGGGGTTTTGCTGAAGAACAAAGCAGCTCCTGCACCGTAGTCCCTCAACCTTGCGGCTTAGGCTTTGGGTTTTGGGGCAGGGGGGGGGGGGGGGGGGGGGGGGGGGGGGGGGGGGGGGGGGGGGGGGGGGGGGGGGGGGGGGGGGGGGAGGGCCAAAAAAACCTCAAAACGCAGAGGCGGGTGGGGGAAGACCTATACCCTACAGCCCAACCAAACCTGCTTCAAAGGTCGAACCCAAAGCCCTAAAAGACAAAGCATGAGACCCACAGAGGCTCAAACCTGGAGTGAGGGTTCTTGAGGGATTAGGGTTCTGGGTATAGGGTGTGGGGTTTACGGTTACGGGTTTGGGATTTAGGGACTAGGGTTGAGGTTTCACGGGGGGGTTGCTTATGTTGCAACCTTACGCCAACCACTCCAGCAGTTCGAAGCCTCTACCCCCCCATTCCCACAACACGGCCTCGAACCCCCGAACCCTGGTTTGAGGGTTGAGAGGTTTCGGGCCTCTTGGGTAAAATTAGGGTTTAGGGTTTAGGGCTTGGGCATGAACTTTTCACAGCACCGGCATGGCGCAGCATCGAGGCCACCCCGCTCGGGTCCCCGGCGCCAGGGCAGGTCCCACTTGTCCAGGTAAATCCACTGCCTGGGGGGGGGGGTTTTTGGGTTTAGGGTATAGGGTATAGGGTACAGGGTTTAGGGTTAACTGCTAGAAGAGCTGTCTGTGCCGGCAGCTTCAATATTTCTACAGACTTGTTAGGGTCATGCTTTGGGATGTTCCCCCCTTATACTAACAGTCCTTGTGGGATTCCAACTTAGAATCCCTATTAAGGGACTCTTAGTAGAAGGGGGAACATCCCAAGCTTCATGCTCGTCATTTTGGCATGCCACGCTTCACTGGCCAACAGCCTCCCATCTACAACAGAGGCTCATGTTTCAGCAGCAGCCACTCCCACAAACCAACCTTGCAGGCCGCCAGCCGCCAAACGCAAAATCCCGGAACCCTTAACCCTAAGCCCTAAGCCCCTAAGCCTCTAAACTCCCGAAAGCCCCTAAACCTGAAACCCTTCACCCTGAACCTTCGCTGCTGAGTGCAATAGGCCCCCCCCAAAAAAGAGTACACTTTCAATTCTATAGGGGACTATAGTATCCCAAAAAGTGTAGTAAAGTGTACTCACTCAGCTATTAAGACCCTAAACCCCAGACTGAGGTGTAGGCCACTTGTCCGCGTACTGAATGCCGTTGTACGCCTTCCCCGCGTTCTTCGCGTCTTGCGTGACTCGGTTGAGGGCGTAGTAGCCCTAAACCCTAAACCCTAAACCCTAAACCCTAAACCCTAAACCCCAAACCCTAAACCCTAAACCCTGCATCCCTCGACTCCCAGAAGCCGTGCAGGCTTGGGGGGGCAGTTGGGCTTTCAGTTGGGGCCTAAACCTTACTAAGGGCTTATAGCCCATCCTGGACCAACTATTCTCATTTAGGGTTTAGGGTTTAGGGTTCAGGGCTCAGGGCTCAGGGCTTCGGGCTTGGGGTTTCGGGTTTCGGGTATAGGGACCCTGCAAGAAGGGGTGCACCTGAACTATTGCGCAAACCCAAAAAACCCTAAACGAGCGACACACTTACTCTGGGAAAGCTCTGCACCAATAAAAGCCCTTTTCATTGCACCCCCCAAGGTAGTCCCTTGATATGGGCCGTGAATTGGGGAACCCTCATATACCCCTTCAGTAATTATATATATACCATATAAAACCCCACGGGCCCATACTTTAGTAGACCATATTCTACTAATTGCTTAAGAAGCCCCCCCCCCCCCCAAAAAAAAAAAAAAAAAAAATATATATATATATATATACACTTCTTCCTTATTAAGGGTAATCCCTTATTTTTGTTTGTACTCTTTTGGGGTTCTTAAGAAAATAGTAGTATTGAGGCGAGGTTCCAAAGGCAACAGTCACATGGGTTTATGCGGATGTTAACGGGGTTTCTGGGCGATGCTTAGTATATAGACTTGCTAAGTTCTACGCTTCATTTCAGGGTTTCGGCTGTAGGGTCGTCAAAGACGTCACAGAACACAGCCTTCAATCCCAAACAATCGGGGTTTAGAGTCTCTAGGGTGTGCATTAGCTCAACACGTCGGAAACTGTTGCAGACTGACCTTGTCAGCAGCGCTAGGACCACCTAAGCTGATCTTGAACATCACTGCTATCCCCTCCAAGAGCAGCATCGCCCCAGGTCACCACCGACCCATCGCCCAGAATGGCGGCAAAAGCCGAGCTGGTAGATTGGATCTGCCGCACGTCCTTCAGCTGTGCTTGCACATCACTGCTGTCGCCGCCACTGGCGACATCGCCCCAGGTCACTACAGAACCATCGCCACGAACGGCAGCAAAGGCTTGGCCGGACGCTTGGATCTGCTGCACATCCTTCAGCTGATGTTGCACCTCACTGCTGTCGCCACCACCGCCAGCAGGGCCCCAAGTCACAACAGACCCATCGCCCAAAATGGCAGCGAAAGCATAGCTGGAAGCTCGGATCTGCTGCACGCCCCTCAGCTGACATTGCGCAGCACAGCTGTCAGAGCCACTGTAAGCACAGCCCCAGGTCACAACAGAACCATCACCCAGAGTAGCAGCAAAAGCACCGCCTAAAGCACCGCCGGAAGCTGCGATGTGTTGCACGTTTTGGAGCTGACCCTGCACAGCATCGCAATCGCCACCAAGCCCAGCGTCGCTCCAGGTTACAACCGACCCATCGCCCAGAATGGCAGCAAAAGCCGAGCTGGTAGATTGGATCTGCTGCACGTCCTTCAGCTGATGTTGCACAGCACTGCTGTCGGCACCAGACTCAGCATCGCCCCAGGTCACGACAGAACCGTCGCCCCGAATGGCAGCAAAGGCTTGACCGGACGCTTGGATCTGATGCACATCCTTCAGCTGATGTTGCACCTCACTGCTGTCGCCACCACCGCCAGCATCTCCCCAGGTCACAACAGACCCATCGCACAAAATGGCAGCAAAAGCATAGCCGGAAGCTCGGATCTGCTGCACGCCCTGCAGCTGTTCCTGCACAGCACTGCTGTCGCCACCTCTGTGAGCAGCACCCCAGGTCACAACGGACCCATCGCCCAGAATGGCAGCAAAAGCCCACCTAGTAGCCTGGATCTGCTGCACGTCCTTCAGCTGATGTTGCACAGCTCGGCTGTCACCACCATACATACCATGGCCCCAGGACACAGCAGACCCATCGCCCAGAATGGCAGCAAAAGCGGAGTCGGTCGCTTGGATCTGCTGCACGTCCTTCAGCTCTGCTTGCACCTTGCTGCTGTCGCCACCCCTGTGAGCGTCTCCCCAGGTCGCAACGGACCCATCGCCGAGAATGGCAGCGAAGGCACTATGGTTGCCGCAGATGCGAACAGGGCCCACGTGAAAGGTAAGGGTATCACCGTCCTGCAATCTGCATGCCTCAAGCGTGGCTTCTCCCTCCAGAGTTCCTCCGGAGGTGTCTAAGAGTTTGCCTCTGCCAACTGCCAGAGCCTCCTGTGCTCTGCTGCTCAATTCTCTCACAGACACGTCTGGTCCTGCTTCTAGCGAAACCGTCTTGCCACTGAGCAGGTTCACCGCAATCGTAAGGGGCATGAATGCTACAAAGGTAAGAGCTCAACGCTACAAAGGGTTTAAGGTTTAGGGTTTAGGGTTCAGGGTGCAGGGTTGGTTAGCACCACAATCTGCCTGCTGCTGGTGCATATGTCGGGTTTGTGGCTTCTAGCCACGCTTCTCACTAGACTCCACCCCAAACCCTAAACCCTAAACCCTAAACCCCCTAAACTCTATACGTCCTAAACTCTCTAAGCCCCCCCGATTTTCCTGTACCCTTCAAGCTCTTCAAGCCTATGTGGAAGCAAAAACCGGCTTCGGCCCATTTGTCTCCTCTTAGAAGGCGTACGGCTCTCAGGACTCTTGCGTTGGGATTTTTGGGCTCCCCCAAAAAATGCCAGATGCCAAGTGGAGTTTATAGAAATTATGGTGGAGGTGAAGCCCTAAACCCTAAACCCCAAAACCCGAAAGACAGCAAAAGGTGTACTAAGCCTTCAAGCGCCGGACAATTGAGCTTCTCAGTATTGAGCTCCTTGTCAAACCTGTCATGTTGGAACATGCAGGAACCCTAAACCCTAAACCCTAAACCCTAAACCCTAAACCCTAAACCCTAAACCCTAGGGGCCAATTAGGGCTTAAAGTCTTCGAGTCTCCCAACATTGTGTCTCATGGCCCCCTAAACTCTAAACCCTAAACCCTCCTTAGGCATGATCACCATCTAAACTCCAGAAAAAAGAACAGATCTCCGAACACAAGCATCTGCGAGAAGCCTCCTCTGTCAAGTCTTGCTGGCTCTTAGGGTTTCAGGTTCTGGGGTTTTCACTTTTCCTTTCTTTGGGAGGTTTCAGGATTTAGGGATTAGGCTTAAGTTTAGCTTATAAGGCTTAGGCTAGGTTTCCACAGTTGCCTGAGAATAAACAAGGTGCACTGTCTTGGCTTAGGGTTTGGGAAGGGTTCCCATCAACCGATTTTAGGGTTTAGGGTTTAAGTCACATCAAGAATTGGCGATAAGTTCACTTCTTAAGTGGCCCCAAGCCCTAAACCCTAGACAGCCCACAAGGCGAGACCCTTATCGAACTCGGAGGGGATGGGTTTAGGGTTTCGGGTTTTGGGGTTTAGGGTTTAGGGTTCAGGGTTTAGGGTGGGTACTCGGGGTTGAACTCTATGGGCTTCGGGTCTCCGCTTCATTTTCAGTCTCCACCCTCACCATCTTTTGCGCCCGGGGCGGGGGGGGGTTCAGTTTCAGTCTGGATCACAACCGCGGCTTCGGTGGTCGATGTTTTTTGGGATATAGACTCTCTGCAGAAGAGAGCCAGAAGAGGGTTCAGAAGGGTTTCCTTTTTAAGGATCCCTGAACCCTAAACTCTAAACCCTAAACCCTAAACCGTCTTATCCTGCCTAGGACAGTTTCAGAACCCCAAAGTTCAGACTCAGATTCAGCTTCCGTTTCGCTCGCAGCCGAGGCTTTGGCCGTGGATCTGCCGTTTAGGGTTTAGGGTTTAGGGTTTAGGGTTTAGGGTTTAGGGTTTCCGGTTTAGGGTTTGGGGCTCGGGGTTGAGGGTGTTTGGGGTGTGGGGCCCAGGGTACTGGGCGCCAAGATCCTTATAGACCTTTCGCCATAAATCGAAACCCTGAACCCAAGAGTGCTTTTAACCTCGCTCTGAACCGAGAACCCAGCTGCTGTCGTGGTGCTCACCCGTCTGATGCTTATCAGTGAAGGCGGGAGGTTCCTATCTCTAAACCCTAAACCCTAAACCCTAAAGTATTCTTGTGGGGCACCTAAACCTTGGAACAAACTCAGTATAGTGACGAATATAGCTTTCTAGTGGGTTCTAGGACCCAGAGTATCCCTTCAAACCACAAGGGCACCCCTTTTTGAAGGGTTGTACGAAACCCAATCCCCTAAGTCCCGATTAAGAACCAGGAAGGGCTTCGGGTTTAAGGCTTAGGGTTTAGGATTTAGGGTTGTTGTGCAACAGTTGTTGTTTTGCTTGGAGCCAGTGTTAGGGTTTGGTAGAAATGACCGGCCCTCACTAACCAAGACCAGCCCCCCAAAACCCTAAAAGCCAGGGCCCCCTACTCCCCCCCCCCCCGGCCTCCGCCTAGGGCCCTGGTCCAAACCCTCCCCCCCTTCTCCCCCCACCCCCTTGCCTAGGCCCCACAGACCCACGAATGTTTTGCCAAGGCCTTTGGTCTAAAGGTAGCTGCATGGCCCCTGAATATGGCCCCTTACCTTCTTGCAAGGGTTCTGACGTATGGGCCTCTGGGTTTTATAGGGTAAAACACGGCCAACCCGAAACCCTAAACCATAAACCCTAAACCCCCAACCCTAAACCCCAAACCCCTCTTTTAAGGGCCATCATTGAGGGACCATGTAACTACCCTGGGGTGCCTCGGCTTGGGTCATGCCCGCCACTTTCGGGGTCTGCCAGCTAGTTTTTGGGCAATGCCATAAACCCTAAACCCTAAACCCTAAACCCTAAACCTCTCTATCATAATGAATTTAAACCCTAATTCAAAAGTGGGCAACGGTGAGTTTTGGCTTCAAAAGTGGGCAATGGTGATTTTCCTTTTCCCCGGGTTTTTTCAAGGTTTTTCAAGGTTTTTCAGAGTTTTTCAGTGTTTTTCAAGGTTTTTCAATGTTTTTCAGGATGTTTCAGGGTTTTTAACCCTCAATTCTGATGAAGGGCCGCCCCCTGCTCAAGGGGGGGTCGCATTTTTTAATTTTAAAGGCAAAATAGTCTTCGGAGACCTCAAACTCCGACCCCCCCTTGACAGGGAAAGTTTGCCTCCAAAAACACCCCAAATGAGGGGAGGGACCCCAGGATCAGCCCGGGTCCCTATTAAAAATGCGATTTTTTTAGTACTGAAATCGACGCTTCTGGGTGGGCTCTCGTTTTCTGGCTTTTTTGACCAAACCGAGCCTTCACCGGTTTCAGAATTTCATGCTTTTCAAGGTTTTTCAAGGTTTTTCAGAATTTTTCAGTGTTTTTTAAGGTTTTTCAATGTTTTTCAGGGTGTTGCAGGATTTTTTCCCGCAGTTCTCATGAAGGACCGCCCCGTGCCTAGTTTTGGGTCAAGGGGGGTCGCATTTTTCAATTTTAAAGGCAAAATAGTCTTCGGAGACCCACCCTTGCCTCAAACTCCGACCCCCCTTGAGACGGAAACTTTGCCTCCAAAAACACCCCAAATGAGGGGGACCCCAGGATTGGCCCGGGTCCCTATTAAAAATGCGATTTTTAGTACTGAAATCGACGGTTCTGGGTGGGCTCTCGTTTTCTGGGTTTTTGGCCAAAACCGAGCCTTCACCGATAGGGGCTTCTAAACTGTAGGGTTTAGGGCCCTAAGAGCATAAAGGGCCTATTGTGGGCCTTAGATTAGACTTCGAGTTTGGGTTCCGTTAAAAACTAAAATATTTTCCTAATGTTATGGGATCCAAAGGGTGGGTGGGTATATATTCGATACCAGAGTAGCGAGCTTGACTAGTGAATGCTTGAACTGGAGATGCTGAACCCTAAACCCTAAACCCTAAACCCTAAACCGTATGCGTAGGCTTAAAGGGGTCAGGGCGGAGGGGGTTAGGGTTGAGGGTTTAGGGGTTAAATGCTTGGGTCAACTACACAAAGGAACCCGGAAACTGCAGAAACTTCCATATCTGGGAGACACATGTGTTTCAACACCCTAAACCCTATAATCCCTAAGCCCTTAAGCCCTAAACCCTTAAACCCTAAACCCTTAAACCCTCAACCCTAATCCCTAAAGGGTGCCATCGTCAAATAGCCAGGTGAGCTCATCCCAACCATTTTCCGGCTCGTCCATCCACTCGCACTCGCCCGCCTGCTTCTCACAGGGTTTGGGGTTACCTAGAATAACCTTGCACCTTAAGAACACGTTAAATCAACCCTGAACCCTGAACCCTGAACCCTGAACCCTGAACCCTGAACCCTAAACCCTAAACCCTAAACCCTAACCTGCACAACAAGTAAGAAGTCACACTTCCCTTTTCTAAAGGAGAAAGAGACTACCTCTAAGTAGGGCTCCGGGTGTAGCTTCTCAGGGCATATGAGGCTGCCCGGGTTTACGGTTTAGGGTTTCCCTGATTTTGGTGAGTCCCTGGGCCCTTTCCTCAACCGAAAACCCTAAGCCCTAAACCCTAAACCCTATATACCGGAATCTGTGGTCTAGGGCTTGCTCGGGAACAGGATTTGGACCTGAGGTCATTCTTGTGCTTGTGGGTTTAGACTAGAGCCGGGCTTTGTTTGGCCCTATGGTTTATTTAGGGCGATCCTGCCTGAATTTTCAAGTGTCAACGAATGACCTCATGTGCAGGACGAGATGGGTCTAAAGCCTTAAGCCCTAAACCCCTACCAATTGCTTAAGAAACGCCCAGAAAAAATCAAAACCGATTCTTCCTTAAAAATGGCAGTATAGTGATTGTTATCTTTGCTTTTTGTGGGTTCTTCAGAAAATAGTAGACCCCAAAACACTGAGCTCAAGGGTTTAGGGTTTAGGGTTTAGGGTTTAGGGCTTAGGGTTTAGGGCTGAGGGCTTAGGGCTTAGCCGCAACCTATAGTAGGGAGTGGTGCCCCTCGGCCTCATCCCGATGATTCCCCTTGCCCTAGACCCAGGTCGTTCGCCCGGGTTTAGGGTTTAGGGTTTAGGGTTTAGGGTTTAGGGTTTAGGGTTTAGGGTTTAGGGTTTCCCACAGCTCGGAGGTCGGTAGCACCCACGATTGGCCCTCTTTTTGTGATTTTTCAATCCCACCAGGCCAGGGGGGTCCAAATGCCACAGAACACCCTGCCCGTCGTGGGACCCCCTACTCAAAGGGTAAAGCCCGAAAAGTCTGTCCAGGACCTTCCGAAGTCCTCACAGGGGCCTACCAGAACCTCCAGAAAAGGCCCTCCAACCCTATACCTCCATAGCCCGATGACCCTGTAACCCCAAAGCCCTCTAACCCTGAACACCTCAACCTTACTACCCAAAACCCAAAACCCAAGGGCCCTCAACCCCAAACCCAACAACCCTTTAGCCCTTAACCTGCAACACGAAGCCCAAACGATGCCCTAAACCGGAAACCCTAATCCCTAATCCCTAAACCCTAAACCCTGAACCGAAAACCCTAAACCCTAAACCCGAAACCCTAAACCCTAAACCGAAAGCCCTAAACCCTAAACCCTAAACCCTAAACCCCAAACCCTAAACCCCAGATGGCAGGGCGCCTGCTGGCCGAATCCCAACTTCATCCAGCCGAAGAAGGAACTGTTTGAGGGCTTTGGGAGATAGGTTGTGAGGTTCAGGTTCTGTAGGGCTTCCAGGATTTTTGAAGGTTATTTGGAGTTTAGTGTTTTTCTTGGGTTATAGGGTTGTGGGGGTTTAGGTTCTGCAGGGCTTCCAGGTGTTTTCTTAAGGCTATTTGGGGTTTAGGGTCTGTGGGTTTGGGGCTGCTTCAGGGGCTATTCTGGGGGGTATAGCGTTTAGGTTTTCTGGTTCCTTGCCGGAAGAACAGAACCACAGCTGCCCTTCTGCAGAAAAAAACTGAATTTCTGTAATCCCATGTAGTGAGCCGAAGACATGGTTGCTCAGAAGCGCTCTAAATATGAAGTATATAGGGTGGTTTAGGAGTGTCCCCCCCAAAAGGACACACAATGCCTACACCTTCGTCCCCCAAAACCCTACACCCGAAACACTGACCAAAACCTCACCTTCACAGCAGCCACAGAAGATGGATGTTCGGGCCCCAAGCAAACAAAGAAAAGAATAGCCTAATCCTTGTTGTAGGACCCCGCCATATATAGGTACACCTTCCTGTTTTGGGAAAGGTACCTGCATGTTGGAGTCTTGGGATGAGGGATGAGGGTGGAATGGGGCTGGGGCTGGATGTCGACTGAGCTCGGGAGGGTTTAGGGCTTCGAGTCTACATAGGGTTGAAGGTGCTCAGAGGGCCCAGGGGGTAGCTGCATGCATGGGTTTAGGGTTTAGGGCTTAGGGCTTAGGGCTTAGGGTTTAGGGTTTAGGGTTTAGGGTTTAGGGTTTAGGGTTTAGGGTTTAGGGTTTAGGGCGTCTGTAGTTCAGCCTGGCATTGGCCTGCGTGGTTCGCACATTTCGTTCACGGCTGACTCCCTTGAGACAAGGACAGACAAGCACCGCAACAGGCTCAAAGTGATCCCAGACCCCTGGGAGGGAGGATCCAAAAAATAGAACCTCCAAATAGTAAACCCTAAACCCTAAACCCTAACTATTGGGTCATGCTTCGGAACACTTAAGGGGATCTGTTTTTTGGATCCTCCCAGCGGTCTGGGGAGGGAGCGAAGATGGAGGCTTGATGGCCGCCAACCTACACCCCCCCCAAACCCTAAACCCATGCGCAACTAACCCCCTAAACCCCGTTGACGCTCCCAAGCCGCAGCGACATGGGCCTGCAATGCCCTCTTGTCCCAACACTTGGATGCGGGATGCCCCTGGCCGCAAACTCTGCCCGTCCGCAAGAGTATTGCGCAACGATGGGCCATTGTGCACCCATCTCCTTTGGCGCACTTCTGCTTCTGGAAGTCCACGCAGAGGTTGGTGCCGTCTCGCAGCTGTGCCGAGAGCTGCTTGCCATGCATCTCGGACGGCATGAGGTCACGCACATCCCAGACAGCTGGCGACGGTTTATAGGGTTTAGGGTTTAGGGTTTCTTACTGGCCCAAAACCCAAGGAAAACCAAAGTTGAAACTTTCAGAATAAACTACCTTATAAGAAACCCAAAAGTTGCAAAGTTGGGTTTTGAGCCAGTAAGGTTTAGGGTTTAGGGTTTAGGGTTTAGGGTTTAGGGTTTAGGGTTTAGGGTTTAGGGTTTAGGGTTTAGGGTTTAGGGTTTAGGGTTTAGGGTGTAGGGTTTAGGGTTTAGGGTTTAGGGTTTAGGGTTTAGGGTTTAGGGTTTAGGGTTTAGGGCCACTGAAGCCTAAAAACCTAAACCCTGAAGCCTGTCTAAAGCCTCTCGACACTCCCAAACCATGAAAGCCTAAAACCTGCTGAGGGCCTGCTGTCGCCTTTGTAGACGAGGCGTTGCCCGGTCGAGTTGGCAATGAAGTGCTTGTTGTCCTTGAACCTTGTCTACCAGTTTTGCTTTAGGGTGTAGGGAGTTTAGGGTTTAGGGTTTAGGGTCTTCTGTTTAGGGATGTTGTGTTTAGGTTCCGGGAGTGTGGGTTCGGGTTGAACCCTAACCCCAAAAACCCTAAACACAATGTGCCAAAACCCTCAACCCCAAAACCCAAAACCCAAAACCCTCAACCCTAAACCCTAAACCCGAAACCCTACACAGTGCCCTAAATGTCGGTAAGGAGTCCCGGCTCTAGGGGCTTTTGCGGCTCTGGGCTGGGGGTTTAGAGGGTTGAGGGTTTAGGGTTTAGGGTTTGGGGTTTGGGGTTTGGGGTTTGGAGGGGTTTGGGGTTTGGGGTTTGGGGTTTGGGCGACAGGGGCTTAGGCTGAGAGGCTTACCTAAGGCGTGTTGGGTGTTTGGGGTTTGGGGTGTCAGTGCTAGGGGTTTTAGAGCTCCGGGGTTTAAGGCCCTAGGCTCTAAACCCTAAACGCTAAACCCTAAACCCTAAACCGTCGACCCTAAACCCTAAACCCTAAACCCTAAACCCTAAACCCTAAACCCTAAACCCTAAACCCTAAACCCTAAACCCTAAACCTTGAACGCCGGACTCTGGGGCGGCCACTGGTCCAGCTTCCAGGAGGGATCGGTCTTGCCGTCCAGGAAATCTTGCTCCTGGCTAGGGTTTAGGGTTTAGGGTTTAGGGTTTAGGGTTTAGGGTTTAGGGTTTAGGGTTTCGGGTTTCGGGTTTAGGGTTCAGGGTTCAGGGTTGAGGGTTTAGGGTCTAGGGTTTGGGGTTTAGGGCTTAGGGCTTGTTGACATACAACTTACTTACTGTCTCGTAAGAAAGGATCTGGGAGGTAGGTAGAGGGAACCTGCTTCCCCACTAAGAACCTGTTAGGCAAGCAATAAATAAGCCCTGAACAGGGTTTGGGGTTTAAGGATGTACGCTGTGGCCCTTGTCCTGTCCCTTACCTGTGTTTCGCAGTATGAGCACCAATTATGTATAGTGTATAGAGGGGTTGTAGAACAAAAGGTGTAGGAATTCATGGCTTTCTAGGCTGAGGGTTTATGGGGGGGGGGGGTTAGGGTTTAGGGCTAGGGTTTAGGGTTTAGGGTTTAGGGTTTAGGGTTTAGGGTTTAGGGTTTAGGGTTTAGGGTTTAGGGTTTAGGGTTCAGGGTTAAGGGTTTCGGGTATGAATACCTGTGGACAGCCTAAGTACATGATGTGCCCTACAGCCACTCAGCAGGTTGCCCCTGTCCCTGCGACACGCTAGCCCTAAGGGCTTCCAGCTTCTCACACACGGTTTAGGGTTTAGGGTTTAGGGTTTAGGGTTTGGGGGGGGGGCAGGTGGGGTTTAGGATTCCCCCGAAAGCCCAAAAAGCCTGCTCCAGAACATCTAAGCCCCCCAACCCTGAACCCTAAGCCCTAAACCCCAAACACCAAACCCTAAACCCTAAACCCTGAACCCTAAACCCTGAACCCTGAACCCTGAACCCTACCCCCAAAGAAAATGGCCTGCTTAGGGAGACAGGGGTTGTCGAGGGAATATCCACCGTCTCCAGCACTCCGCGCTCAAGCCTGAATGGTAAACCCCCAAACCTTAACCTCAAACCCTAAACCCTAAACCGCAAACCCTAAACCCCAAACCCAACACCCTGAACCTAAACCCTGTACCACGCCACAACACTGAGTGCGCACCCTTCAGGAGGCTGCGCTGCAGCAGACGCCATCCCAGCTTCGCTCTGAGCGCAGCTCCCACAGTATCTCAGAATCGACCTCCTGACCCGGGTCCAAGGCCGTGAGGAAAGGTGCTGCCCAGTCGCCATAGAGTCCAATTCCTTGCAATGCAAAGGGCATACCTCTCGTCGAGGTCTTGGTGCGAAACGAGGAGCCCCGAAGTATCCCCGAGTCGTAAATGAGGGAGGACCAAAGCACATGAGACGCCTCCGAAACGGAGGGAGGCCCAAATGCACACCAGAAAGGCACCTGCCAGCAGTTTGGGCAGAACGTATCCCAGAGTTCATCATACGCTTCGGAATCAATCCGCGCAAAGCCGCTGCTTCATGATTTCTCTTCAGCTGTCCGAGCTGCGTTTGCACATGGATACAAGTTAGAGATATATCCTTCCAGCTCTGCTTTGCTTTTTTGAGTGCAACAGGAAGAGGCGATGCTATTTCACGTTCATGGTACAGATATATTTGCGGTCTAGGGTTTAAGTTTAGAGTTTAGGGCTGGGGAGTTAGGGATTTCGGGCTTTAGGGTTTAGGGTGGCAGAAGGCAAACAATGGCTAGACCCCAATCCGCAGCCCACAAACCAACACGTTGCCGCAATTCTTCTCAGCCCCCCCCCCCCCCCCCCCCTTGCTACACTATATATAGGGTTGAGGGTTTCATGGTGAAGGGTTTAGGCTTTGGGGTCTAGGCCTTTACAATGGCAATTTTCCGGTCCTGCACTGGCCATAAACCCTGAACCCTAAACCCTAAACCCTAGACAGGTGTTAGAGGGCTCAGGACTCGAAAGTGTTTGGGCTGAGTGCAGTGTTTCCCTGCAACTATCAACCCTGTACCCATACCTCAAAACCACGAGAGACAGACTCCTCAAACCCTACAAGGGACCCCAAACCCTAAACCCTAAACCCTAAACCCTAAATCCTAAACCCTGAACCCTGAACCCTGAGGCGCCTCCTTCGCATCGTTGAACCACCATTCTCGGCAGGCGTGTCTTGAATGGGTGTTACCCCGAAAACCAGGGTTTAGGGTTTAATGTTGGACCCTCTTTAGTGTGTTGGGCCCCCCCCCCCCCTTGAACAGTTGAGGCGTGGATGGGAGCCTGATTACACGGCCCCGGGGGCTTATATGATTTCAATAGGGAGGAGTTTAGATAGGTTTAAAAGGGGCAGCGATGCCCGGTTATCTTTTTTAAAGGCGCGCGCCACGTGGAATTTTCTTACGGCGCCCGGACGGTTTGACTTTAAAGGAGACCCCGCAAACAGTCAGGGGGTCCTGAACAATTTGGCCAAATTGACTTTAAAGGGGAGGCCCCTACTAAAGCGGGTCTAACATTAGTTTAGGGTTCAGGGTTCAGGGTTTAGAGTTTAGGGTTTAGGGAGGAATCCAACGACTACGCAGCCCGACACGCTGCACGGCTGCGATTTGGGGTCCTCCCCCCTATGCTAACAGTCCTGGTGAGGGATGATAGTACTCCCTATCAGGGGGAACAGCCCAAGCTACGAACCCTAAAGCCCGAACCCTAAACCCCAAACCTGAAGCATAAATCCGAAACTCCAAGCCCCATCGGTTCCGGGGCGAAAGTTGTATGAGCGAACCAAAATCTGCATGTGAAGAAACAAAGAAGCAAACAAATGCATATACATATATACAAAACTAAACACCCACACACATACAATATGCATATGTAGATACAAAACCACTTGGAGGTTCATGGGTACTTATAACCCTAATCATGAGTGTACCTATAACCTACTTAGAGGCATTTTGGGGGCTTTTACGTACAGTTTTTTGGGGGGGGTCTAAGCACCCTCAACCTCCAGGTATGGCTATTCATGTATATGTATATGTACATATGACGATGAACACGTCGTCCTTCTGCGGCCCAGGATTTCAGGGGATTGCAGGGCGAATGGGCTCTCCACTTCACAAGAGGGCCCCTACAAATTCCGAACCCTCTCCAACCCTACAACCCTAACTTAGCTGCTGAGTTCAGAAGCCCCCCCCAAAAGTGTACACTTTCTGTTCTATAGGGGATTATAGTATCCCAAAAACGTGTAAAGTGTACTCATTCAGCAACTAGGCTTAAAAACCTGAACCCGAAACCCCTAACCCCTAACCCCTAAACCCTAAACCCTAAACCCCAATCCCCGAAACCTAAAACAAAAGCCTTAGGAGGCCTGAACCCTGAAACCCTCCCTGATAACCTCAAGCCCCCCCCAGGGTTTAGGGTTTAGGGTTTAGGGTTTAGGGTTTAGGGTTTAGGGTTTAGGGTTTAGGGTTTAGGGTTTAGGGTTTAGGGAAACCCTAACACTCTAAAACCCCTGAAAATCCCAACGCATTCGAACGCCCCAAAACCCTAAGACCCCAAATGTTTGAAGCCCTAGAAAACCTCTAGACGCAGGAGTAACCTAGGAATAAAAGGGCGCCCTTTCTGGTCTTGAGGGGATTATAAGGGCCTTAAGGGAACCCGAACCCTAAACCCGAAACCCTAAACTCTAAACCCTAAAAAAAGTAAAAAAGGGCCTACTCCCGGTCCTAGACCTTGAATCTTTCCATGGAGATGGCCTTAGCCCTGCGGGTGACGGAGTGGTCGTCGGAACCAGGCTTGCTGAGGCTCAGAAAGCCAAAGAGGGGGGTTTAGGGTTTAGGGTTTAGGGTTTAGGGTTTAGGGTTTAGGGTTTAGGGGCTAGGGTTTAGGGTTTAGGGTTTAGGGTTTAGGGTTTAGGGTTTAGGGTTTAGGGTAGGGTTTAGGGTTTAGGATTCAGGGTGTCGCATGATGTGCTGCCGAACGTCTTGTTGGGTGGTCCTTTGCGACAGACTTCCCGTCCTCCTCCACCATCCTTCTGAAAGGCTCCTTTGCATGTTCGCTAAGTTCGGGTTTGGGGTTTAGAGCTTAGGGTTTAGGATCTAGGGTTTAGGGCCTTTTGGGGTAACGAAAATAAGGCGGGCCCTAGTATTCAGGGTACCCAAAAAAGGGACACAATTTAGAGAAGTGACCATGTGTAGGTGTAGACCCTAAACCCTAAACCCTAAACTACTTGGGAGGACGCTTGGTGGGGTGCGTAACTGCACGCGTGGCTTCACGACATTCGACGTTGCGAGGTGTCGGGCTTGGGCATAAGGATTACGCCTTAGCTCACGCTGTTTAGGGTTTGGCTTAGGGTTTAGGGTTTAGGGTTTAGGGTTTAGGGTTTGGGGTTTGGGGTTTAGGGTTTAGGGTTTAGGGTTTAGGGTTTAGGGTTTAGGGTTTAGGGTTTAGGGTTAGGGTTTAGGGTTCAGGGTTCAGGGTTTAGGGTTTAGGGTTTAGGGTTGAGGGTTTGAGGCCCTTGACACGTCAGTCTTGCTACGGACCTGGATGACACGCTGACAAGCGCGGCTCTTTTCAGGCCGCGCTCCCGTGATGATTTAGGGTTTAGGGTTTAGGGATTTAGGGATTTAGGGAGTTAGGGCTTCAGGTTCAGGGATGTAGGATTCCCGGCTCGCGGCCCTGAGCCCGAAACCCTAAACACCCTAAACCCCTGAAACCCTGAACCCTGAACCCTAAACCCGGAACCCTCCCTTATCCTGCGGCAGCAGGCAGCCTTTGTGTGACGCGACCTCTCCAGGTAGCAGGCAAGGAGGGTTTAGGGTTTAGGGTTTAGTAGGGTTTAGGGTTTAGGGTTTAGGGTTTAGGGTTTAGGGTTTAGGGTAGGAGTCTTTTGCAGGTCTTGTGAAGGCTCTTCGGGGTTAGGTGCAATTAGGGTTTTGGGGCGCTTTGGGTTTTCATCCATGGTTAAGGTGTAGGGCTTCAGGGCTTGGGGCTTATGGATTAAGGTTTTGAGGGTTTAAGCAAGGGTTTAGGTCTAGGGTTTTAGGGGTTTAAGGGTTCAGGCTTCTGAGCGCTTCAGGCTTCCCTAATATGGTTGTAAGTACAGTTATGAGTACAGCTACACTTGGTTAC